TAAAAAATTTCAAATTTTTACCGCATGCATAAAACGATTTTGGTTTTTCTTCTCTTTACTTTTCTTTTTTTTTTGTATTATTTTATCGATCGCGCGAATGTTGAGTTGAGTCCAAACTAGCACTAGATGGATGGTTTGTTTTTCGCGAGCTGTTTAGATGGAAATGTTGTGGTATAGCAGACTGAGAGGGACCGACCGGGCACACATGTGTGTCCAAGTTCCAGTGGGGCAACTTAATTAACATTTTTAATGGACCTGCCGACTCGTAATGTCGGACAATTAAAGTCGCAATAGGCATTTGGTTATGCCTCGCCTGGGGCATTGCAGGCGTTAGTGAGTGGGTGAGAGATGTGAGATGTTGTTGCCTTAGTATTTTCCATTTCCCAATGGATCCCAGTCTTATCAGCTGCCTGAGGAGCGTCTCTAGCAGGCGGAAAACACTTGAAGATCCATTGATAAACAGTCACTCTTGGCATGTTGGGGATCTGTTTTTCCCTTGGCATCGAAAAAAGTGTTTGGATCGCGAGAAGAACAAAACAAAAAACTGAATGGTGTCGTATACATGGATAAACACTTTAATGAAACAGTTTCCTTTCTGGAAAAGTTTCCTCTTCTAGAGGAATCTTTTTGGCTGAGCACCTGCAACTTACTTGGCGCGTTAATCGTTTGTTTTCATATATTTATTTCGAACAACATAAAGGTGCTTAAAGCCCGTTTAAGTGCCCATTGTTTAGTGTAAACAGTTGGAAAAATGGATGCCTTCCCTTGAGTCATCTGAAAGAGTGGGTGCTTTGAGAATTTACAGTGGACTCTTGGTGGTGGGGAATTTAGAGAAAAACTGTATTTAAATTACTGAAAATCAATGAAAAAGAAGGGATGTTGGAAAATAACTTAAAAAAAAATTGGGTATTGAAAAGTTTATTAAAAATCTTTGATTTGCTTTTAAAAATATTTTGAATCCCTACTTAAATTTAATTGATTTACTATAATTGTGAATTATAACTATTATCACGCTCAAATTTTATCAAAAATATCGTTATGTTGGTTATATCTAAAATTTAAATAAAGATAAGTAACAAAATGAACGATTAAATATCGAATATCGTTTCAAAATATATCAAACATATCGTTGACTTAGACATATTAACAATTTAGGCGAATATAGTACGATTAACAATGTAAAAACGTAAACTTTTTATGTAAAAATGTAAACTTTATATACTAAGGTAACTCTAAGAAACTTTCTAATGTAAATATCGATATGAAACTTTGCACTCGATATTGTTATCGACCATGCATGATCGAAGAGGTGCGATCAGCGAAGAAATATAAAATAAAGATAAAACAAAATTCGAGTTTTACATTTATTAAAATTTTGAACATCGAAGAATATTGTTTTTAACCATAGAATACGTAAAGAGGTCCTATTTATCAATTATAATATCGATTTATCGCGCAACGATAAATGTATTTATTAACCATACATATGAACAATATATTATCGGTATATCAAACATTTTAGACATGCCTGAGTCGGTATTGTCTAGTTTTATTAACCGGGTACCTAACTATTAATATTTTCCATTTCATAAATATCTCTCCCTTAAAATGCATCTATAAACAAGTTAATAGATACCTCGACTGGTGGCCTAATTGGCCTTTTTCTCATTCGAATTACCCTGAATTCTCTGCATTGCATAAATCAACATCCATTTTGTGGTATAAAGAGCAGCTTAATGCCTCGTTAGCTTTCGTCACTAAGCTGAGCAATTTAGGTTTCAAATGAATTCCACCTACTTTTCCTTAGTGGCCTCTCTCTTTACCTTTTCCTTCGTTTTTCTTCTCTATTTTTCCTCTCCTTTTTTTTTTCATAATGATTATAAGAAGAATTTCTTTTCGGATTCTGCCACCCAAAATAACGCCTATCGGCCACACCCACTCCAATGTCGTCGGCAGCTATTAGCAGCAATTTTCAATTTCCTTTCTGATGAAGCACATGGCAAGAGAGCAAATTACATGGCGCACAAGATGGGACATTCACTTTTCCTTAGTTTTTTTTCCTTTTTTTCCCATCTTCTTTTTGCATCGTTTTTCCCCCTTTTTGAACTCAGTGTCCTGGCTGGCGCACACGTCCGCAATTGTCCTGAGCGCTCCTCCGTCTTCGATTCGAAAAGAACATTTTCTTGCTGCTCCTGCCGCTGGGTGGCTGAGTGGGTCGAAAATACAGCCCAGACGAGCGACGGGAGCAAATGAACGGCCATTATGTTTATCCGAAGTGAAAGCGACGGCTGAAGTGAATTTTTAACGAGGCGAAGGAAGCCCGTCGAGAAGTTGCTCGGCAGTGCGTTGCAGTGAGTTGGCGAGCTATCCTGCCGGCCAAGGACATGCTTCAATAGAATAAGAAGAAAATTACACTTAAACGCTGCGGCGTGTCGACAGCTTCTTCTGTCGTTGCCTTAGGTGGTCAGCTTTTTATACTAGAGACAGAGGTTATTTGTATTTTTTATAGATGTTTGTAACGGTAAAAATATTATTTTATAAGAAATTTATTATTCTGGTGTAAGTTTAACAAACTCCAAATATTTTATAAATAATAAATAAACAAGCTTGGACAACAATATAGACAGGTTATCTTTAACCAAATCGGACTAAATTGTATTCTATGAAATCCTTTCTCTTCTTTTAAAGATATTTATAAAGTATCGATATTTGATGCAGAGCACGATTAATAAATCGATAGTTTAACATTGAGATAAGTGCCATAAAGCGATATATTGTTTGATCTATCGAACTTTGTTTAAACTTCGTTGTAAATATAGATAAACAGTAATCAAAAAATGTATTTTTAGAAATATATATTTTAAGTAGGTCCTCTAGAGAAGACCAAAAATGTTGTCATTGTCGAATTTCTGTTAAATTACATTGATTATATCGATATATTATCCTTAAATGCATTATTTTTGCCTATATTTAACTTTAATCAATCTAAATTCTGTTTTATATATGATAATAAGCTGGATATATTTTTTTATATATTATATTGTTCCTTTTCTTTGGTTATACATGCCTATATAAACAATTATAAATAAAAATATATATAAAATAAGATAAAAAAAGAAAAAGCTTAATAAATAATAAAAATAAAATAAAATAAATCATATATAAAAAGTAATTAAATATTATTTTATAGACTATATATATTACATTTAATAATCATCATAATTTATCAATAAAATTGTAAATGTAAATCAATATTTTTCGATATTTTTAAAGTGAATTCGATTATCGATATATCGTTTTAAACGATTTATTTTGATATAAAATATACAAGAACGTTTTGGATGTTCTCGTTAGATTTATAATATTAATACCAAAAATTTCTCTTACACCTGAAGAACATATAGCTTTCGGCTTGCCAAAAGTAAGCTGTATTCTGGTCCTTCCCGTTTCCCTGGGAGGGTAACCAACTCTGATTGGGCTGCATTCAAAGGTGACTATCTCCAAATTGCCGGTCAATTAACCATTTCACCCAGAAGCTCTCTCATCCCTCATTAACCTGTCTTCATCAATCTCAACTGCGGTGTACAAGACCAAATTCCTTTGGAGGAGGATTTCAAGTTTATTTGCCTAAGCCGTTGACAGACAAACAGCTTCGGATCACCCTTTCCGCACGCAGAAGCAGCAACAGCAGCAGCACTCATACGCCCTGTGCGCCATCTGCATTAACATATCATTAGGGCGTGCGTGTGTGTGTATGTTTGGCTGTTTATCGGGGCTTTTGTTTACAATAAAGCGTAATCATGTGTTACAAATACCAATAATAATTCGAATGGGCAATGTAACCCTAGCCAGCTAGCACAGCCTCCAACGCGGGGCGTCGCACCCACTTCAATGTCAGTCCGTGAATGCATAATGAGCTGTATGTATGTACATATGTGTGTTGTGCAGAGGCCATATAGAGCTGAGGCCTGCTACTCCGGTCGTGTCTCTGCACTCTCGCCTCAAGTGCACTTGCCGGAGACGGAGACCCCGCCCGGAGTCGTGTAAACATCCCATTTGTGTCCAACAACCAAATGGCGCTGGCAACTGGCTGTGGCGCTTTCATTGCAGGAAGCAACTGTCTTTTGGGTCAATTTGTTTATGCGATTTGTGGAATTGGGTAGATATGGGATTTAGGAAAATGTATATGGGATATACTTATCTGTTTCAAGTATGTAAACATGTTCAAATAATTAATAAATAACAGTTGAACGTTTCGAAATATTTATTTAAATTTCCCAAAAAATATGAACAATGAATTATTATTTGATTTAATTGAAGATTAGGTGTTCTTCATTCCGTGTTGTTGTTTAGCTTAATAATTAGTTCTTAATAAAATATATAAAAGGGAGACTTATATGTGTAATATTTTTCTATATTACCTTTTCCTTAAATCCGAGAAATCAAAAGAAAACCTTTGACTATATCTTTTCATTTCAAAGTTTTCGAATACTTTGAAAACCAATGAATACTGGAATATGTAGAAATAATAATTTGAGCAATTCATGGCTATATAATGATCATGTTGAAATCCCATTAAATCTCTGATGAGTAAGCTTCTCTAAAAAAATATATATATCTATTCGTTTTTGGCTTTTGAATTTTTTGCTCAATTCCTAAAGAGCACTTGGCCTGGCACTCAGGCGCCTTAAGTTGTATTGTATGGCCATGCCATTTGGATTCATTAAATACTTAAGTAGAAGCTCAAGTGCCAAAGCTTAAGTGTACGGGGTTATTATTGCAAAAAATAAGAATATAAAAAACCAACAAAGGGCAGGTCAAGTATTCATAAAATAAGCACATGTGGTAATGAGAAAATGTTATTTTGAAATGGAATAATGAACATAAATTGAATCTACAGATTGTAATATTTATAAGAGAAATTACAGGACTATAAAAAATTATATAAAATGATACAATAATTTGAAATATATCAATTAATTTAATATTTATTGTTATTTTTGCTTTAACCAATTTAATTTAAATTTATTTCTTATTTTCTTATACTACCTCTCATTGTATTTTTTTCCACTTTGTAATTCCCTGCAAATCTTTAACCTTTCGAAAAATTCTGCATAATATTAAAATAAAGAATGAAATAATAAATACTATAATAGCAACGACATCCAGTAGATAAAATTGATACCAGGGAAGGTTTACCCCTGCTGCCACCAAGTGTGGAGCTCCACGATGTTCAATGACATAATCTATCCAGTACATGGCCGTGTCCATAGCCCCGAGCGGACGATCCCTAAAGATCTTTGAAGCTCGATTCATATTATCTTTGTATTTAGGATTTGACAGCAACTCTGTGAGGGCCAACTCTAGCTTTTCCTCCGATATGTCCCGATAGTCCAGACCAATGGCATAGCCAGCAGATATCCCTTCCTTTATATTGGGATTCTGATCGAAATAGAAAGGCATTCCCAGCACTGGGACCGCATGATGTACTGCCTCCTGCATGCCAAAGAGTCCGCCATGGGCAATGAAAACCCTCACCTTAGGATGGGCCAAAATATCAGCTTGTGGCAGCCACTTTTCCACTTTTACATTTCCAGGGAGATTGGGCAACTTGTCATCTTCGAATTTCCACAAAACGCGTTGTTTGAGCCTGGCAAAAACACCAAGGAAGATGTTTAGCTTCTCGGCCGGCATGTCAGCACTGCGGACTTGGGATCCTAAGAGAGAAGGCTTTATGGAAAACTTGAATTTTTTATCATATATAAAACTTACCCAGACTAAAGTATATAGCACCGTGTTCTGCCTCATCGAGAAACTTTTGTATATGTCCTGGCAACCGTTTGGGTGGCTGGATGTGCAGTCCTCCCACAGAGATCATGTTAAAGGTCATGGGTCTTGGAGATGTCAGGGGCATATAGCTGTTCAAGAATATGGCCGAGATATTTCTTTCCAATTCCTTAACCCTTGGCACCTCTGGCAATAAACTAGCAAAATACTTTTTTATAATGGCATCCTGGGCTGGATAATAGAAAAGTTCTCTATGGAAATCCTCTTTAGCACCAATTACCACATTTTCTAGCCTTTGCCAAAGGGTCATTCTATCCGTGCAGGATAGAAAAACATTTGGCACATACGATAATGGCGTTATAAAGCCAAAGAGTTGGCTAAAATAGTTGGCATAAGCAAAGGTTGCTATGCTTATAACCGGCACTTGGTACAAATGACCCAGCATCAAAGCTCCTTCATTGTAAAACTGTTCCACCAAGAGGAGATCATATTTTCCCACTTTATCCTTGGCATGGATTAGCTTTTGAATCTCTGGTTGGGCCAAAGCAAAATCCGTTGACTTTAGGCCAATGTGTTGGGCCAATTTCATAGCTGTCCATTTGGGTACATCAACCATGTCCAGGGCCGACGAGGTCTTCATTATTTCAGAAACTATTTAAAATAATAATTATTTAGTATTATAGTGACAATGTTTTAGTTACAAATCTTACTATCAGCCCATGTATTGTAAAGTGGCAAAAGAACTTCTGTGTAGTTGGCTCCCAGATTTTCCTTGGCCAAGGAAAATGGTGTTATAAAGGTAACCTCATGTCCACGTTGCACTAGCTCTCGTATAATGGCATTTGTCATCATAAAGTGACTTCGAACGGGCAGAAAGAAAGGTGCCAAAATTCTGGCCCCTTCCCCATGTCCAAAGAGAAGCAATATTATAAAACGGATAATAGTTGAGGGTTTCTTGAAATATAAGAAAATAATGTATAATTATTATGTGATTTAATTATGTTATGTTATTATTGTTTTGAGCGAAAAAAGGTTCATTATTTAACATTATTAGCTGGAAAAAATCATAGCACTTTCAACAAACACTCGTATAACTTTATTAATACATTTTTATAATTTTTGTTGTTGAATTTAAACACTTCACTAACCATTTTTCCTGCAAAAATGTTACTTTTTGTATGTCTTGATCACTGGCCAGTCAACGGCATACTGATTTGGGTGACATTTTGGATAGCTGATATTTTTCCACTGTTAATCTGTATAATACAGCCAAGTCATGACGTGAAGATGAGTTTATTTCAAGATCACAGCTTGACATCGATAAGAGAATGGACCTTTTCTCCCATGTTTATCTTGAAAGTATGTCAGTTAATAAAGGGGAAATTTTGGTGAGCGTAATCTTGTCTGAAAGACCAAATGTCTTTCAGTTGACCTTATCAGCAGACTCCCTAAGATAAGGTTAGTAAAAATAGAAATTATTTCTTTTTATAACTGAATTCTGAGATTTAAATATTCTAATATTCATTCATATTTCTATATAATATTTAGTTTTGCATTTAAGTGATTTCAATGGTGATATAAAACAAGAGCAAGATTTTCCATTTCAAAACTTTCCTCTTCAAGTTTATGCTGCACACTTCCCAAAGCGATCAAGCTAAACGATAGGAAATCGTAAATAAAACCTAAATTTGACTAAATTAAATATTTGTTTCCCGGTGTGTGGTAAATGAAGATTCTAAACTGGAGGCTGCTTCCTTGTAAACGTTCTCCGTTACCCGAAATCCCAGCTATAATGTACAGTAAACAATGGGTTTAAAATACGATTATAAATGGTTAAATTGCAATAAAACTCAACGCGCCAATTTGTAGGCAATTAAATTTTATATACGATCAGGAATTTCGATGGTGGATTGCTCCGTGACGTCCGATTCGGTCTTCGATCGCCACAAGGGAGGTATGGAGGCATCGATCATTCAATTTGGCGTTGCAGACTTATTATTGTTTACTTTGTCATATTTTGCCAATGTGTTTTTTTATTGTTCTTCGCGCCGCATTCGTACTCGTATTTAGATTGCCACTATTTGTTGCTGCATGCCAGCCAGCAGTGATACTTTGTTTATTGTCTCGGCCAGGCCAAATAAATGCAACGGCTTTTCTGCGGTAAATTTGGCTTCTACTTCTTGTTTTGTCGATTTGGCCATAAACCTTGATCAGCAGTCAACCATCTGTGGGGATTCACAGAGAATACTAGACACACGAAACGCACTTGCAGGAGGATGGGGGGGCTCAAGTGGATAAAATTATTGCAAATTCCCTAATCTATGCGGATCCACTTTGGAGAATGCCCCAAGCAATGGTCTCAACAGCCGCCAAATGCAGCCATAAAATGCCCAAAATGCCTCGCCCTCCCCCCAAAAAAGTGTTCCATCAAAATCAAAGCTTTTAAGCCGCGGCCTGAAGTGTTTCGCTTGCGTTCTAATTTGCCTTTGGCGTTGGCATCGAATATGCAATTAGCCGCTATTACATTAATAATACGCGTACTTGTGTCTTCGACAGCAGACCCGGCCCAATGGTAATTGAAAATGGAAAATTCCGATATTTCCAATATATGTATATGGAAATTGAAAAATAAATTCAATTGAAAAGCGCACATTTGGCCAAAGTGAATCGTTTGTGCTTAAGAGCTTAAAAGTGCGCATCTTGCTTCATTGCATCTGTATCTTTATCTATGTATATTTGTATCTTTTGCACTGCGGGAAAATGTCGTCTGAAGGTAAGAAAAATATTTTCAGATGTGAAAAATTATTTTAGAAAATTTTAACAATTAACTTGACATTGATTTTATCTGAAATGTTTTGGTGTAATGTTCACCTGGATGAACAAATTTACTAGTTCATTTTTACAAAATGAGTCAACTTACTTATATTGCTTACTTGTTCTACTCTTCATTTGCTCAGTTGCTCAGTTGTTCACTCTTTTTATACTGATTTCTGAGTATTTCATTTGAAAACTGAGTACAAAAATAAGCAAAATGAACCAAAATGAACAAGTGAATATAAATGAGCAAGTGAACATAAATACCAATTGCAATGAATAAATGTTTATGGTGTTTTGTTCACTGACTAATGAGTAATTCAAGCTAAAATACTTGTATGCCTGGAATAGTCAATATATACGTTTTTTGTAAATTAAAATGAATCTTTAAGTATTAAATTGCCAACAAAAATGTCGAATTTAGAATGTAAATTCATATTATATTTTGTTTTTATAAAGGTAATTATATCTAATTATATTTGTTTATAAATATCTATTACATAAATTTCTATCATCTATGTCTTTGCCTAAATCCGTAAAGATCATATTTTTATTCTTCCCCAGTTTATTTGTTTGACCTTCCCGGCGACACATATGCAATTGAAAATCATTGTCGCCGTCGCGGATGCACTGGCTCCACGATCATGTAATCATGCGTGTGGCTTTGTTTACAAATCACGCCTTGTCGCCGCCTCCGGCCAGACAGGACACTCTTGAGGATGTCGGCAAATGGACGGAACGGTGAAATATGTGTGAACGCCGGGCCGGACTCCTCCAGGTCCTGCGTGTGGCCACAGTTGCTAATTGGGATCGCCACTCGAGATCTGTCTAGACAGCTGTTCTGCGGTGGTCCTGGTACTGTGCGCCAAGTAGCTTGTTTAGACGGCCACCGCGGGGCATTTGCGACACATTAGTTGACCACTGTTTGGGCAACAAAACTGGTGGAAAGTCAGAGCGCGCCAAGGCGAAAAAAACAGAAGGGAGTGGAGACCACACAACGCTCCGAAATAACACAAAACCGTACTCCAAATAAGCAAAGCGCAGTAACAACAAACATAGCTACACAGGGGCGAAAATGTTGTTGATATTCCAAACATGAAATTATGTTTAGCTTTAATTTTTTTATATTTTTTTGGTTTGGAATTTAATTTTAAATTTTTAAATAAATCTTGGAATATTATATTATATTTTAAATTTTGTTGATATTCCAAACATGAAATTATGTTTAGCTTATTTCTTTTATATTATTTTTTGGTTTGGAATTTAATTTTAAATTTTTAATAAAATCTTGGAATATTATATTGTGAAAATATGTTAAAAAACAGCAAAGTTGTAATTTTTTTCTAAAAATTGTTCCATATTTTGTATGGCAGATATATGATATAGTCGTCCGATGAGGGTTTAAAAATATGGAATAATTCTTGGGATAACTCATATTTCCGGCCGATTTCAACTCGAATCATAGGAACATCTTTATGATTTTTTATCCTTCTTTTTCCAAATCCTCAGATTTTTCGATCCTCAAGCATATGAGAAAAACCTTGACTAGATTGATTCGTCTGTTGAAAATAAGTACATATTGATTTACATATATGTGGAGTTTATTTTATAAATATTTGTTAAATTTATATACTCATAGAAATTTTCTTGTCAATATTTTAATATATAAGAATAAAAAACGAATTTTCAAATTAAAGTACTTATTTCCCCAGTGTAAATTGTTGCTGGGGGGAATGCATTTAATGTACTAGCAGAAACTCCTCAGCCCATCCATTCATTCATTTATCCTCGTCCATCCATCAGGCCCATCAGGTGTGTGGTGGCGTTGGCTTGGTGGCTGTGGATATGGATGTGAATATGGATGATGTTCCGATGCCGCCGTTAGAAGCGCAATTTGTTTATGCTACTTCGTGAGCAATAAAAGCACAGACGGCCATGTGGGTGGTCGTGGTCCCACCACCTTCGGGCCTTTTGGATTTTATGCAGTCGCTAGTTATGATGTACCATTCCATACATAGGGATGTATGTACATATGCCAGGGGGATGGGATAGATGGCATGCTCGTGTGCTAATCACCAGCAGCTCTTTGGAGCTGTTCATGTGGAATTAATCAAAGCATTGTCCTCTGGTCTGGAGTCCCTGTAATCCCTGTGAGAAACAAATTGAGTTATAATTGAATTGATTTCCAGAGAAAGCGGCCACTTACAAGTCTCGGATCGATCCAAGCTAGCTGTAAGGTTGAAGTGGCTGCCGAATAATTTGACATAATGGTTTCTTAATGAAGCGCTGCTATCTGCGTCTGAGAAAGGGTGCAGTGCAGCTACTCAAGTCAAGTGAGCTCTCGTTGAACTCCAATGGGATTCGGCAGTTTATTGACCTCGAAAGTGTCCAAAATTATTGAAGCTGGGAATATTTTCCGAGTTTAAAACACTGAAAATAAAAATATATATTGAAGAAAAACACATAAGCATTTTATTTCTACTCTTGCATTTTTCGAGTGAAGAATATTTCGAAATATGTTTTAGAATATGCTAGATTCTGTCAATGTTGAATAATTCGAACACTTTCTAATATGTATATATTTAAAACAAACATTTTAGGTAAGCATTACTGTGTTGGCCGCGGTTGCTGTTTTTGGAGAGTTACTCGTATCAATAAACTGAATCAAATCAAACAAAATTATCGTTATTTATCAACACCCACATGTAATTTATCCCATAGATAAAATCTACATATTCAATCGTCGGTTAATACTTATCAGATGCAGTAGCTACAGCTATAAAAATGCATCGAATAAATGCAGCAGATCATTCGTGAAAAATTTACACCTATAAAATGTTTCGACGCTCGCACTTGTCAATACTTTTCCTGCTGAAAATTGTAAGCCTTTCGGTTGAAAATCAGTATAAATTTGAGTTTGAGGACAACAAGATATTTACAAAATGTATGGATAATCCGAACGGGTTTAAGGGTATAGAAGGATTGTATGATCTTTCGAATATGACGTTTGAATTGAGTGAGGCAGGTATTGTCGTAAGTGGAAACGTGACAACTGTGTGAGAAGTAGAGCCAACTGATCGCATCGAGGTGAATATATTTGAATAAGAAGAAATCACTAGATTATTAACATCATTTTTTCAGGCTCGTATTAACGCATTACATTGGGAACGTGGCTTTTGGCAACCGACTATACTCAATATTTTGATTTTGGATTTCTGCAAAGTTATGTACGACAAGAACCAAATCTGGTACAGTATTATGACACAGCATGTCATCAACGTGGAGGAATTCGGGACAAGTGCGTCAACCATAATGGAGTAAGTGGGCAACTATTCAAAGGTCTTCAAATGTAATTGGTGCAAATGTTTCATTTCAGACGCTTATGGTGTTCGAACAGTATTTGGTGAAGTTCTTTTTTGGTGGGGCAGGAATTGTGATTCCATCTGGTCGCCACCAGATAATATATACTATGGTTGCTATCGATTTGAATAATGTTATCCGACCAAATGGAATATGCAGTGAATTAAATGGCGAATTTTTTAAAATCAAAAATTGAAAGTTACAAGTAAAATATAACGATTTACATGTACTTAAAAAAACTATTTAATGTTGTATTCCAATTTTCGTTTTTAAGATTGTGTTTACACTTATTTTATTTAAACAATTAATTTAAAAACAAAGCCCAAAAGTAGGCGATTCGTGATTTTATTTTTGAGGTGTAAAAAACAGAGGGCGAACGTATAAAGTACGATGTCAAACACGTTTTAGTTTTTTTTTAGTTTTAGTTTAAATTTTATAAATAAAAAAATGTTTTGTATTAAAGTATAATGTCAGGAGTTTTTTACAAATTATTTTTGATTCTTGAATTTTGTCAATTTTTACATTAAGGAGGACAAGAAAAATCGAAAGATTTTAAATTGGTTAAATTTTTAATCTTTATTAGCAGATTTATTAACCATAAAAAAACTAACTCAGAACAGCTTTCCGAATTGAATTTAATGCATTTTTGGCTTAATTATTGAATTTTTAAGCCCAAAAATGATCATATAAAATTATGAATAAATATTTAAAATTAATACACCTTAAGGGGTATAATAATTTCAGTCCGAAGCCAAAAAATCAGGGAAGGACCCATTTCCGACCCTATAAATCATATATATTCTTGATCAGCATTAAAAACAGAATCGATCTAGACATGTTTGCAAGAAAGTTAAAAATTTTAATTTTTTTTTTTTAATTTTATGTTTAATTTTATTGTTTAAGGAGGTCAAGAAAAATCGAAAAATTTTAAATTGGTTAAATTTGTAATCTTTATATGCAGATTTATTAACCATAAAAAACTAACTTAGAACAGCTTTCCGAATTGAATTTAATGCATTTTTGGCTTAATTATTGAATTTTTAATCCCAAAAATGATCATATAAAATTATGAATAAATATTTAAAATTAATACACCTTAAGGGGTATAATAATTTCAGTCCGAAGCCAAAAAATCAGGGAAGGACCCATTTCCGACCCTATAAATCATATATATTCTTGATCAGCATTAAAAACAGAATCGACCTAGACATGTTTGCAAGAAAATTAAAAATTTTAATTTTTTTTTTAAATTTTATGTTTAATTTTATTGTTTAATTTTATTGTTTAAGGGGGTAAGGTATTTAATTTTTTTTTTCGTAAATTTTTTTTTATTTTTTATTTTAAAAGTTCAATATCTTAAGAATATTGTGTCCAAGTTTTACATCGATCAGAGTAAAATTGACGAAGTTATGCGGAGTTGAACGAAGGTCGGTTGGTGTTCAATGCATGAGAATCACAAAGTTTAAAGTTCTTTAGATAAATCTACAGGTACTCTCGGTGAGATTTTTTTAATTTTTAATTTTATTATATTTTTTATTTAACAAATTAACTAATTTTTGGAGTCAAAAATCGGGGTTTTGACTTCAAATTTTGATAAAAAATAGGGAAAAAATTTTAAAAATAAAAACGCTTCGTGAATACCTTAGGACACTTATCCTTTAACGAATGAGGTATAATTTTTGTAGATCGGATGATTCTGTGGACAGTTAGGATGTACACCGCAAACCAACTTTTTTTGGAGGCGACTCGGGAGATTCCCTATAACTCCTCTACATCTAAATATTTTTCAATACAAAATTGATTACAAACTGTTCCAATATTGTGTTATTATATGGTATTTAATTCGTTAAGCTAGCTTTAGCCGTTTCGCCACAACATTTTATTGAAAAGTGGGCATTTTTGCACCGAATTAACCTTACCCCCCCCCTTAAGAATTTCTGAAAGTGTATGTAAAAACTCCCTTGCGACATCTAGCGGTGTCGACGTCAAAGCGCCCCCTGAAGGCGGTAAACAGAATCTCTGAATTTCATTCACCAATTTTCATTCCAACAGTGATGCTCATTTTTCAATTTTACTCAGAAAAGCCATTAAAAAATATACACTTATTTAATATTGTTAAAAATAACTGATGCAGAAATGCAGAAAGCTATTAAGCTGGAAAGGTTCTTACCTTGGAAAATAGATTTAATTAGAGAATATATATGCCCTAAAGGATAGAGATTTTAACATAAAAGTAGTAATGGTATGCATATAAAATAGCAATTTTAATAAAAATTATCATATATAAAATAGAGTATATAAATATCGACTAGGTATTTTCTACATCATAATAATTACACGATTACATGATTTTTTACAATCATTAGAATATTATTTTCCACAATTATTTAATTATTTTGCGTTATATCAAAAACCACACCACAAATCTAATTACAGTCCACAGTGTCCTGTAGCGACAATCTATACGCGAGATCATTAGTTAATGTTTATCTGATGAAGTAGCTACAGCTATAAATACGGCATCAGATGTATCTAAAAGTTTATTCTCGTGAAAAATAAATACAAAATGTTTCGACCTTCGCACTTGTCAAGGCAAATACTTATCCTTGTGACTATTGTGAGCCTTACGGTTGAAATTCAGTATGAATTTGAGTTTGAGGATGACAAGATATTTACGAAATGTCTCGATAATCCGAACGGGTTTAAGGATATAGAAGGATTGTTTGATCTTTCGAATATGACGTTTGAATGGGGCGAAGAAGGTATCGTCGTAAGTGGTAACATGACAACTGTGTGGGAAGTAGAGCCAACTGATCGCATCGAGGTAAATATATTTGAATAAGGAGCAAGGACTTTACTATTAATAGAGATTTTTTAGGTCCGTTCGCACACATTACATTGGGAACGTGGCTTTTGGCAACCGACAATACTAAACATTTTTGTTTTTGATTTCTGCAAAGTTATGTACGACAAGAACCAAATATGGTACAGTATTATGACACAGCATGTCATCAACGTGGAGGAAATTCGGGACAAGTGCATTAATAATAAAGGAGTAAGTTTGCTTTTAAAGGTCTGACCTGATGTGATTAGTAAAAATGTTTTATTTTCAGACGCTTTTAATGTTCGAAAAGTTTTTGATGAAGGCCGAATTGGGTATAGGGATGGTCCTCTCCTCTGGACGGTACCGAATAGTAGTTAATTTGGTTGCCATTGACTTGAATAATATTACACGACCAAATGGAATATGTTATGAAACAATAGGGACATTTTTTAAAATCAAGAATTGATCTTTATATGTTTTTATAAAATTTATAATGTTGTATTGGAAAATTTATAATGCCCGAATAATCGGAAAATATTAAACAGCTTATTAATCAGAAATTAAAATGGAAAACCAATCTAAATTGTAAAAAATCTTCAACATTTTATTGTAAATAATGGATTCTTACTTTACATTTTAATTTACTATAAATTTTCAATTCTTCCTATAAATAAATGAGTATTTGACACATGTATTTCTTATATACGACATCTAGCGGTGTCGAGTTTCCATTTCATTTTTACATTTCAACATTGTCGCTCATTTTCTACACAAATAACTACGTCAGTGCTGTCTAAATGTCTTTTTTTACGGGTATGGCTAAATCGACTCGGCTGATGGTCCTTATTAGCAATAATACCTTATAGGGTCGAAGTTGCCTTATACATTCTCGACTGGCAATTAGCTGTAGTATCTTTTAATCTTACAAAACAAAACTTACCTTTTCCAGGCTGTTTTAATATTTTCATTATTGTTAATTCATTAAGTCCGTGTTAAATTAAATTTCCTTTTAAATACTTCATAAATAAACTACTACCAAAATGATCGTCTTCACCATTAAATATAAGGTTCTTTACTAGGATATACACATAATATTACACGTAGTTGACTTAAGCACAATACAAGTTAAAGTACATCGAGTTTATTATTTATTTACTATTATTTTGTGGGTCAATGTGCATCATAAAATAAAAAATGTAATACTTCAATTAGGAAAATAAAGAGATAAAGTGTTTCTCTCCTTAGCAATATTATTATTTCTTTTTTTTTTTTGGCAATTAGATGAGAGTTAAGCCATTGGATAATTTACAAAATAAGCTAATCACTGCGTTGCATGTGTGGAAGTGGCAAATCTGGTGCTGATGTAGTTGGCGGCTGCGGATATAGCAGCTTGCCATCGGAGTAACGCATCAGAGTCATTAGCTTCAGCATTCGCAGCTCCTCCTTGTCCTTGTCCTTGTCGCGATCCTTATCCGTTCCGATACCGCTATGCGTCTGTGGGTGGCGCAAGCGATTGCGATCTGCTGACTGGTCGGGTCTTTAAAATACTCAAGTCATTAACGTTCTCTAAAAAGCTATTGTTCGCTGACAGTTTCACGCTTTGCACGTCCTTTTTCAGTTCCTCCATGTCGCGCTTGAGTTTGGCACGTCGGTTTTGGAACCAAGTAATAACCTGTGGATATCGAAAGTTGTATTGAGAGGAAACTGGAAGAAAGACGTCTTAAAATCGATTTCTTATGCTACACATGAGTTATTAATGTATTAAATTTAGTATTAGTAGTGTTATTTAAGAATCAGTTCAACCAAAGTTCACCAAAGACTCTTTTTTCAATTAAAAATTAAGCATATGAAATCCTATAACAGATTGTCTAAAGTTTAGTTAGGGACAAAGAGGATATATTTCTATTAGGAGTGTGTGAAAACATTGATATGTTGATAAAGTTTGGTTAATTGACATAAAGACTAAAGTAAAAATCGATATTTTAACTTGCAATATATCGAAATTTGTAATTAAATGTGTGATAAATCGATAATCCTTTTGATATATCGGACTAGTTTTTAAATTAAATAAGTTGTTTGGATATTTTTCGATAAAATCAATATAAAACCATAATTTTAAAATGTTTTCATGATAAAATATAGTAAAATGCAATATCTTTCGATAAACAATACGAAATTAAGTGCGATATTTTTTAGCCGATATATTATAATCGACTTTTTCTGTTCCTGGTATGTTGACACTTTAAAAAAGTATAGCATATATCAAACTTTTAGTGACTATATTGTGAGAAGACCAAGACCAAATACTTCCAAAGAGTTTATCGAACTTTACTTGGTATTTAGCTTACAGTTTATCGCTTAGATAAATATTACCATACTCACCTGTGCATTGGAAAGGCCCAGGCCTCCGGCAATCTCATCACGATCCGCTGGCGAGAGATATTTTTGGTATAGGAAGCGCTTCTCCAGCTCAAAGATCTGCTGGTTGGTAAATGCAGTGCGGGACTTGCGTTTCTTCTTTGGATTCGATCGCGTGGCGAATATATTCAGTGTGGCGGGATCTGCAATTCAACAAACATCATTGAAAATCATTATGGGAGAGCTGCTACAACGGAATTGTGTCGAGTCGAAAAGGTGTGAGATGGCATCGTAAATTATTCAGCGATCAGTCAACTTTTTATGCTTCTCACAACCGAACCGATGATCATAAAACGGAAAAGTTTATGGGGCTTTTGGCTCTTTTTCCGCCGTAGAATTTGACCTTTCTCCGGAGTGCCGTCTTCGAGGATGCTTTAATGATCACCTTTATGGCGGATCGCTACACTTTCAATTCAATCAGTGGAACTGCTTGTGGTTAAAACAATTTCAATGGAATTCATAATAGACAAACCGACAACAACAAATCTGCGGTCATAAAGCCCGGCAAGGGGGGGGACTCTCTAGCTCTAGCCCCGATTTATACCCTCGAATTTTATTGGCCACGCTGAATGATTTCCTCTGTGTCTGCGAGAGTGTTGTTGTTTTCTTAAGCGATTCGATTGGGATTTGATTCGATGTGGATTTTGATGGCCGGTATTTGTTTTTGGCATGTTTAAAGGTAATACGCCGGCTGATTGATGTTTATACCTCTTCTATTTCTTTTTTTTTTTTCCAAAAGCATTCCGCGGCGGAAATGGCTTTCAACCCAGTTTGTTGAAGGCAGAGCAGCCCAACCCAGGCCCATTAGGTATTGTTTATTTATCGCTGGCAATTCAATTTTTGCGCCTTGCGATCAAGTTTTTTGTTGTTATTTTTTAATGCCCGATACTTATATGATCCCGGTGAATAGCCTACAGTATCAACGGAAATAGCTGTTGCTTCGTTTGCTTAAGGGGTTGAATATACATCGAAAGAGATATTATTATAGGGAGGGAGCTAGAGGGAAGGTTTCTTTAGGGAAAAATGGCAGCAGCTGCAGTCCAGCAGCAACTTTGTTGTTGCTAAACATGTCCGACAATTAACAATTAAGACAACCGAATTTAGTCCTTGAACACAAGCACAAGATATGGCAACCTGGGGTTGTTTCAGTTCCCCTTCTTTTTATAGTTTTTTTGTGGCTGAAGTTAAAAGCCATTTTGACACTGTTCTCATGTGTTTATTGTGGGGTTATCTAATCTTTTGGCTTGTAAACGACCATTGAGGGTATAAAGTAGAAGTATCTTTTAAGGGGTTGATTGGGGGAATTTTATGAAATTAATAAGTATTTTTTCTCTCAAAACAAATGAATTTATTATACATCTAAGAGGTGTTTAAACCCCTTAACCTTACATATGTATATCCCAATATTTCCTATATTAAATTTATTTTTTTAACAAACACCATTTTATCTAAGCTAAGATCGTTTCATTAACCAGTTTAATCTGACCCCACTTGCCATCAATAGGCATTCCTGGTCCCAGATTGGCCATGTAAGTTAGCCACGCCTCTAATTAAAAGCCATGGCCAGCCTTTTCTTGACCAAAAAGTGGTTAAGCCTGAACTCTGTGGCGGCTTTAGTCGCGTTTTATTAATTAAAAAAATAGCAAACTTCACTTGGTGGGCTGGACCACTTTAGAGCCGCACATGGAGTTGGAGTCATGGAACAGGAATTACAACCCGCACCCACACCTCACACCTCACACGTCCTCGTTGTGGCCAGCAAACAATGTCATCAGCATAACTAATCATTGTGACAGCCGGCAGGGAGATGCCGGGTGACACCGAACCAGGCCACACATTTAGCACAATGATTCCAAGGAGCTGCTTCTGTTGTCTGGAAAAGTAAGCATAACTTATGCCTCCTGGCAGCGTTGCTAATTGAGACACAAACAAAATGACGCATTTTCCTTACATAAATAGACTGACTTAGTACTACTGGGTGTGCTTCTAACACAAAGGAGTTTACACTGAAAGAAATAGTTTTATTGATATTTTTATAAAAATTAACAGTTATATAAAAATATTAAAAATGATCAGATATCTATTTGAAATTATCATGTAAAAGACTTTTTAATAATAATTATCTTTTCTGGTTTTCTAACATTCGAATTTTCTTTACTTAACGGCAAATTTCTAACCTCCTTGTCAAAATAAAGTCCTGTTCCGTACATTTGGTTGTCAATTGCTTATATGTAAGAGTTAACTTTAACAGGAACCTAGACTTCTTGTCAAATATTTTAGGAGTTGAAAAAAAGAAGAGCTTACTTAAAATCTAAAAGGGGACTTACAGCTAAGATTGCGCCTTACAGCACACAAATGTGCTTAACAGCAATAAAGGATGATTAACAGCACTATGTTAATCTTTTAGGTTAAAATAAATTTTTCGATTAGTTTAACTGGTGATTATTTTTATCAAGGACTTTGATAGTGAGGGTAGAACACATCCCTAAAAATTTTCTTCTTAGTTAAGTTATTAAAAATAAATACAACCATATATTACTATACAATTTAACTTAGCTAATTATGACAGCTCCTTAATCCTTAATATTTTTTTTCAGTACATTATTTCCACACGATACCAGGAGCATGGCGTGCCTTATCGACGGTCAATCTGAAACGCAGACTTGGAGCGCTTGGCTAATGGCGTTGGCTGGTAATTAGGCAAATTAGCTGGACTCTACTGGCTACTGGGAGGCACATAAATTAACAGCAATTAATTAAATACTCGCTGCTTAATGCCAGATCACAACCCGCTCTTCCGCTCCACAGGAAAAAATAATAAAATAAAAAAAAAACAAAGGCCAGAGGTGCCGGAGGGAAACAATTCAATTAAAGCCAACTCCAAATCAATCAGCCCAGATCAGCGAGCAGTAATGGTAATCCCCAGGGATGCAGAGCCACAAAAAGGGGAACATCATAATAATAAAAGCCAGTCCAGCCCAGCCAGAGATCGCAATCTCAAGACAATCGGGCTACCAAGATGCGTATCCCTCGGCTAAGGCTAACGCTAAGGCTAATGCCCAGGGAATATATTTACCACAAGGTGCCTGCTGTTCACACGCTCTTCAAATGCCTCGCATCGCTTCGGACCCTTTGAAAGATGAGTATCCCCGAGGTAGTAGGTAGGCAGCCAGATTCCGATTTAGATCGGGATCCAGAACCAGGCCAAAAGCATGACATGTGGAATGTGTGATTTGGGCCCGCCGACGGAAGACTCAATTAGATGCCTGGACTTTTCGGGGCTTTCGGATTTATGACCACAAGGAATTTCACATTCTCAGGGTCTGGCTAAATACCTGCCAATTGCTTTACAAGTCTGCCGCCACCGCAGAATTATGACAAAAAGCCGGCCAGGGACAAAGGCGACCTTCGGGGATGCAAAAGAGTCGCCGTCTCACTGCCCCTGGCGGTTGAAGGAGTTTGGCTAAAAGCGCTAATTATGGCCAGAACCAGAAAGCAGACCGCAAATTGCGTTGTCCAGAAGCTCGAACGCGTAATCAAAAACTAATTTTAATCCTGTTTGGGGGATCACTCCCGCTTCGCTTCAGCTTCACCCAAATCCGGGACACACAATCCCCAAAATGAAAATGAAAACGAAGGCAAGGTGGAGAAGCAGGAGAGCCGATCGGATCAGAGATCTTTTTAGCGGTAGGTCCCAGTTAATTTATTCTAAATGGCTTTTTGAAATCCCCGAAACATCTCGAGAAATTTACTTATGACGTTGCCGGCGTCTTTCTCTCCCAACGAAAACCAAAACAGCAGAATACACAGAAGGAAAATTTCTATATTTTAAAAAGTAAATTATAAGATAATATATATTTTTTGTATTTATATAAAATATAAAGAGATCTATACCAATATTAATACACAATTAATAACGATGAAGAAAAAAGAAAAATATCTAATTTATCGTAAAAATATCGATACCATTGTCTCTTTTTATATCTCGATTAATTTTCTAATATCCGAAAATTATAGGAAATGACTATTGTAATATCAAAATATCAAACAAAAATATAGCCACATTAATTAATATTTATTGCACATATATCGTAGCAATAAAATATCTCGTAAAATATCGATAAAGATCGATATATCAATATTTGCTTCTTTACCCATCTAAGTATTTTAGTTGACAAAAGTTAGGATTTTGGAGAAAAAGAATCGCATTAGAGAAATCCTTTTCTTTATTTTCAAAGATGTGAAATCAATGCATATTAAATGTAATAATTCCCATTTTTTATCAGTGTATTAGCTCTGTGATCTGAGATCCAAAACGATGATTCAGACCGGATCAAAGCCGATGGCGGGGCCCTGCATATTTTTCTCACTTCGGCGTGTCTGCGTGTTGTTAGCAATGAAATTGATGAGTTCGAGCAGGTTATAAAACCCGATACCTTTTGGCTACCTTTGTTTGCTGCTTCTTTTTATTATAACTATAACTGCCGTGTTGTTTTTGTTGTTGCCTGAGCCTACGAAAAGCTGAAATACAATAACACAAATTAATATAAGAAGATGAGACAAATTTAGCCGCCGACAAAGTGAGCTGGCTTGCGAGGAGGAGTAGAGGGAAGCGGCACAGCTCTTCATAACGAGAAAGTTATAAATTTAGGTATTTTCTTTTTGGGATATGGAGTCGAAGTCTGGCGACTTGTCGACTGGTGGGGTCTTCACATTTTACTCCGAACTGCGATACAGTCATTGTTGGCTGCTTGTTTACACGCTCGTAATGCGTCCAATAACTTCTTGTATTTTGTTGTCATTTTGTACCGCCCCTGGAGATCTTTTGGGATCTGGGATCGTTGCTGGGGTTTCAGGTAACTGAATACCAAGTTATTTTAAGCCGCACAAATATAAGTTATTTTTGAGTTATTTAAGGGCGGCCGAGCGGCTCTGATTGGTGGCTGAAATCTGTAAAGCACTTAATAGATCAAACAGATGAGGATCCTCGTATTTGGAGATGAAAACCAACAATTATCAATGCTTTTATTCCATTTTAAAATCATATAAGTGAAGTCTCTGAAAAGGACTTTCACTGTACTACATATATAATTCACTTTAATTGAATTTTTTGTTTCAAAAAGCGTCGCTTTCCGGCGTTAAG